GGACTACTCAGAGAAACCCTGTCTCAAAAAACAAACAACAGACAAAAAAAGTACACAATATATATATGCACATAGGCACAGGAACATCAATTCCTGGTTTTTATGTTGAAGACTTAAGAACAGCACAAAATTTTACCCAAGCCCAATAGTTACTAATGAATCAAAATCCAGGAAATGGGAACCAGCCGGAGTTTCACATACGGCCTGAAGTCTGACCCTTGTGGTTAGCTTGCTTTCCTGCTAAAGTGCACATTTTGTTTACAACTATCTAAGTAGCTTCTTGGCTCATCACACTCTCCTAACATTATGTTCTCTCTTTCATAGGAGTGAAGCCTGGAGGCTCATCGTTAATCAGCCTGATGTCGAATCTTCGATAAATTCCTTAAACTTTGACCCTCTGCTCTTTCATGAGACGACTGGTAGAATACTGATCCGAGGCCTAACAACTGAGAAACTCATTGCTAGGTGATTTTTACAGACATGCAAACATCGCAGGTTATGTCAAACTACATGGCCAAGCCTACAACATATCTATGCCATATGGTACAGACTGCTAACATGCTGAGTGTGTGACCATAGGAAATGCTGTAACAACTGTAACGCAACAGTAAGAATTTATGTATCTAAACACAGCTAAACTTAGAAAAGGCAGAGTAAAAATGTAGGCTAGGGTACATGCTGTGAGCAGAATATGCAGGTCTGAAAGTTGCTCTGAATGGCCAACGACAGATCAATGCATGAAAGTGAAGCCTAAGGCAGTACTATGGGTTGGGGCAAACTTTAAAAACAATATGAATTTTTCTTTTCTTTTTTTTGCTTTTTGTTTTTTTTTTGTTTTTGTTTTTTTGAGACAGGTGTTTCTCCATGTAGTTTTGGTGCCTGTCCTGGATCTCGCTCTTGTAGACCAGGCTGGCCTCGAACTCACAGAGATCTGCCTGGCTTTGCTTTCCAGAGTGCTGGGATTAAAGGTGTGCGCCACCACCACCCGGCCTGTATTTTTCTTAATTAAATCAATCTTGGTGCATTATTACACTTTAATGTATTTCACTTTTTACTTGTTTGTGATAACACTAAGCTTAAAATACAAGCATAGGGTTGGAGCGACAGCTCAATTGTTCAAGGTGTTGCAACCATGAGGACCCAGTAGTTGGACAACGGTGACTCCCTAGTCCTCACAATCCAGGCAAGCTCACAGCCAAGTGCAGACCTAGTCTCAAGAAGCAAGGGGAAGATTGTCCTTGGCCTCCCCAAGCTCCTCCCCTTCTTCTCACTCCCCTCCTTCCCCTTCCTCCCCTTCCTCCTCCTCCTCCTCCTCCTCCTCCTCCTCCTCCTCCTCCTCCTCCTCCTCGTTTCTCTTCTTCTTTTATCTACTGAGGATCACATAAAAGACCTTCACACATTCTAGGGCAAACCCCACCTCATTTAAAAATTGGAGGCAGAAACTTGCAAGGTTTGTGAAACAGCCTTCAAACTTGCAATCCTCCTGCCTCAGACCCCTGAGTGCTAGATACTGCACCTGGTATGATAGATAGATGTGCTATATGTTTGGATGTCTGGCAGTGCTGTGCCGTGGGTTTGGTTATACCACCATCAACATGAACGCAGGAGTAAATACAACCTTCATGGTATTACAATGGCTACAGTGCTTCAAAACAATAGAAAAATTTCATTTCAGCTATAATGCTTTACAAGACTACCATTATATATGTGGACAATTGTACACTGAACTGTTGTTACATAGTGTATGATATAAAGTCGGGTGTTGTAGCTAGAGACATGTGCTAGGTATTGACATAATGTAACTATTGTAGCTTGTTTTTGTCCCTGTGGCCCCTGCAGGTAATAGCCAGACCAAAGGTTGTACATATATAATACAAATACTTGGCAAAGTTAATTATACTATTAGCCATCACCTAGTTATGATCAGACAATGCCCTGTGCTCCTGTTCACTGTAGCCACAAACCCTGTCCCATGTTAATCACAGTCACAGGCTACAAGGTTATATTTTTCTTTCCCTGCCCAGAGATTTCTTGTTCAAAGGTGGCTTCAGTCTCTCACCTCAGATCTTTTGTGCCCATAACAGCTGAGAAATGAAGGTCAATTTGTCACTTAATAACCAGTTGTTAAACACTAACTCCACACGGTAGCATTTGCATGTGAATTGTACAAAACAAACAGACAGATGAGTTCCTGTGCTTTAAATGGGAGGATACATGTGTTTTGAGTATAGCTTGATGTTCTTGTTGGATTCCTAATGGTGGGAGGGGGGTGCTGTGTCTGACTCTTCTGCCTGTTTGTGGGAATCTTTCCCTCCAACTGGGTTGCCTCATCCAGCCATGATGATGGTAGGTGCCTGGTCTTGTAGCTTGCCATGCCCTGTTTGGTTGATATCCCTTGGTGGCCTGCTCTTTTCTGAGGGGAGGCAAGGGCGTGATGGATCTGGGAGAAAGGGGAGGTGGGGGAAGAGACTAGAGGGAGGGGAGGGAGTGAAAACTGCAGTCAGGATGTAACATATGAGAGAAGAATGGAAATTAAAAAAAAAAAAGGGAAGACTTTTCAGTTGTTGACCCTGTAATTAGTTACTTTTTCGTTTCTGTGATAAAACACCATGACCAAAGCAACTTACAGAAGAGAAGGTTTATCTTGGCATACTGTTCCAGAAAGTTAGAATCCATAATGGTAGGGACAATATGGCAGCAGGAGGCAGGCACGGCGGCTGGAGCAGGATGCTGAGAGCTCATATCCTTCATGGTAGGCAAAAAGCAGAGAGAACAATGGAAATAGCATGAGTCTCTAAGTGCTCAGAGCCTGCTTCCAATGACACACTTCCTCCAACAAGCAGGAGTCTCCTGAACCTCCTGAATCTGCACCACCTACTGGGGACCGGTTGTTCAAATAGATGCGCCTGTGAGGGGGCATTCTCCTTCACACCATCGCTGTCACCTTACCTCACTTCCTCAGAGGCTTTATCCGTGGGTGCGGATGGGGATGACGAGGGCGAAATGATCACTGACAGAATCTCACACCCAAGGAATGACTGTTTATGGTGGTCCAGAAGTTCAGGAAGTGTACCTGGCACTCTTCTAGGAGGGAAGGCGTTTTGCGCAAGGGCCCAGCTAGTTTGAAACCCTGTAAGAATTTGAACCTGGGCCTCTTTGATGCTGCAGCCCACGAGCCTCATGTTACTCTTGTAAAATGATCACAGTTTAGGTTCTCATTCGGGATCTCAGGGAAGTGGGGTGTGGGGTGTGCAGAACTGCTTACACAGCATCCTGCTGCCATTATTCTCACTCAATATAAAGAATGTATTTATTTCATTTTCAGAATGATGAAACATTGGTCTTAAATTCAGTGAATGAAAGAACTCCACTTTCTGCTTCTCTGGTCAGGGATTTAGAAGAGTAAGCAGTTTCTTGTTCATCCAAAAGTAACATTTCTCGGTGAACATTTTCTGAAAACAACTCCCTTGGTGATAATACCAAAGGAAGTGATGGTTTTGTTGTTGGTTTGGGAGTAGTCAGTCAAGATGGAATGGAGAATTTTATAGTTCAGAGTAGACTGAAGGGGTATCACCAGTCCTTTTCGCTTTCCCAGATTTTTATGGGAAGTTAGAAGGAAATGGAGTTTTCAATTGCTGGTAGCCACCTCCAGACACTACTTAAGGGGTTTGAGTCATTGTTTCCTAATCCTTTCTTCTCAGCTGAACTCTGCTCAAACAACTCACTAACTTCCCCCAAGATTCCCCTTTCTTAACAAAGTGGCTCTCTTTTGATTATGCAAAAAGCTTGGGCCTCAGGGACTTTTTTTTTTGAGACAGGGTTTCTCTGTGTAGTCCTTACTGTGCTGGAACTCACTCTGTAGACCAGGCTGGCCTGAAACTCAGGAGATTCTCCGGCCTCTGCCTCCTGTGTGCTGGGGTTAAAGGCATGTGCCACCCCTGCCCAGCTAATAACTTCTATTTTAAAGAGGGAATTAAGGGGGGCAAGAAGAAAGAAGACCCAAGGTCTGAGACTAGGACTGTGACCAAGGCTGCTGTTTCCTGTAAACAGGAGACTTACAACTTCCTAGATGATAAGCATTTTTCTGCCCCAGTTAAAAAATGGCCTAGGGACAACGCTCCCACAGTGTTTCTAATTCTCAGAACTCAATTATCCAAATGCAGATTAAGTATATTCTTGGGGCACCAGAAAAAGAGAGGAACTAAATATTTTTGGAGAAATTAACCAATTATTATTTTTCAACTACAGAAGAAATTATTTGGGGGCTAAAAAAAGGATCTTGTTACTCTATCACTTACATCTGGGATTAGTTTTATTTCATCTTATTTTATTTTGCACAGTTGGGGATTGAACCTAAGACTCAATGTATGCTAGCTAGGCAAGTGCAACACTACTGACCTACAGCCCCAACCTTCCTTCTCTCTCTCTCTCTCTCTCTCTCTCTCTCTCTCTCTCTCTCTCTCTCTCTCTCTCCCCTAATAGAGAGTTCCAGCCCCCCTGGGTAGCATTGAAATCATTCTGTAGAGCAGGAAGTCTTCAGATTTGCCATTTTCCTGCCTTAGATTTCCACGTAGCTGGGGTTCCAGGCAGGCATGTACCACTAGGCCTGGTGGATTGGTGTTATTTTTACACAAAATTACATAATAGGCATGAATTCCATTACAGTTGACTTTGAATCTCTGAACGTTTCAATTTGGCACTCTGCATAGTGTCTCATTACCAGTACTTCCATTTTCTGAAACATTTTAACAACAATTTTAATAACAAGTATGCTGCCTATTATACTCAGTTTTATTTTAGGGTATTAAAAAAAACTACAGAAACATGAAAAAAGAAAAAAAAAGAGGCCATATTAAACTAACTTCTTAAAATCTTCCCCAAATTTCAGAATGTTAATAGATATATTCAATGGTTAAATTGAGCATTGATCAAATTCCAAAGACCATGTCTGTCTTAACTAGTGTTACTATTGCTATGATGAAACACCATGACCAAAATCATCTCGGGAAGGAAACAGTTTATTTGAGCTTACAATTCCACATAGCAGTTCACCAGGAAAAGCAGTGAGGGCAGGAACTCAAGCAGGGTTGGAACCTGGAGGCAGAAGCAGATACATAGGCCAGGAAGAATGCTGCTTATACTGGTTTGCTCCACATAGCTCACTCAACCTGCTTTCTTACAGACCAGAGGACCAGGAGCCCAGGGGTGGCCCTATCCACAAACTGCTAGGCCCTATCACATCAATCTCTAATTAGGAAAATGCCCTACAGGCTTACCTACAGCCCAATCTTACAGAGGAATTTTCTCAGTTGAGGTTCCTTCCTCTCTGATGACTCTAGCTTGTGTCAAGTTGACATAAAACTAGACAACACAACGTCCTCTTCAAACACAAAGTCTCTAGGCCAGTAAATAATCTACACTCCAGATATTTAATTAGGATAAGACCTTCACCATGGCAAAGCCCACTTTTTTTGTTATGACCTAGAAAACCTGGGGATTGAAGGAGACCATCAGTGAGACCAGGACTGCTTGGGCATTGACTGATGATGCTGGGAATGGTCAGAGACACCGTGGTCCTGAGGATCTGGGAAACCAAGCAACTCAATGTCATACAGTAGCCCTTCTTCCCTGGGGAATAACTTCTCATTCTGTCAACAAAAGACGATTTACTCTTCTCAAAAAACGACTTCTTCTGCAGGGCTTTGAATTTGTGTCACACTAATATGACAGGACAAGACAGGGCAGAGGTTCCTCCATCTTGTATTCTTGCTGAGGCCGTTTCCAGAATTAATGAACTAGAATCTGATCTCCTTGATGGAGCCCTTGGAAAACTAGCCAACTCTATTCTAGGAATTAAAGGTCAGGATGTCCTAGCTTGTTTGTGCAGAACCTCCTCCAGCTAACCATTCATCTTAGCTGCCTGTTTGTGGGGATCTTCCCTCCCGCCAGCTAACCCCTTAACTTAGCTTCTGTTAAAACAGCGAGCTTCAAAATGCTTACTCTGCGAAGCCCCCTGCAGCTGCCCAGCAAGAGGCCTGGACGAGGTCCCTGCCCTTAAAAACCCAGTGTTCTGGACACTCAGGGCCACACCTAGGTCCCCAAACCTTTGGATGTGGTCCCAGCTAGCTGGAATAAAGACTTCAACTGTCTCTACGGTGTGTGTGAGTGGTCATCTCGGGTGAGCTCAGTCTAAGTTGGCTTGTGATTTCTTAGACTGTTCATTTGCAAGGTGGTGGGCTCCATGTGTATGGCTGCTTTCTTGCTTCTGTGCATTCATCTCTGGCCTCAGCTCCTACAGTAGCTCCAGCTGTTTTTTGTTTTTGTCTTTGTTTTTTTCTACCCTTGTGGTACAGTTTGGATCTTGAACATCCTCCAAAGGTCCACGTATTGAAAGTCTGGAAACCTTCCCATGGCGCTCTTTGGAGATGGTGGAGGCCTTATGAAGTGCTACCAGACAGAAGGTCAACTGGGAGTACTTGTTTACAGGCTATTAAATTTCACACCCCCTCTCCTCTCTCTTTGCTTCCTTGTTTCAGTGAGACGAGCAGTTTCTTCTGCCTTGTGCTTCTGAAATGATATACTTACTCTGCTATCATGGGACCAAGGCAATGTGGCCACCAAAATAGGCCATGCACTGGCACATCTGAAACTTCAAAGTACAACCTTTCCCTTGTTTAAGTTGATTCCCTTGGTTGTTTTGTCACAGTGAAGAAAATCTTACTTTCCTTCATTGTAATTTTCTCTCCACTTGGGCCATGGAGTAATCCTTTAGAAAGAAGTTAGATAATCTCACTCATTGCTTCAAATGCTTTAGTTCATTTCATTCATCTTTAGAATAATCCAGACTCCCAGTCCTTATCTTCAAGGTCCCATGGGACTAACTCATGATCTAGCTCTTACTCCTTTTCCTTCCTCCACTCAAATAGGAATTCATTTCATGGGCCTGGAGAGATGGCTCAGCGATTAAGAGCACCTGACTGCTCTTCCAGAGGTCCTGAGTTCAATTCCCAGTACCCACATGGTGGCTCACAATCATCTGTAATGGAATCAGATTCCTTCTGGTATGCTTGAGGACAGAGCACTCATAAACATAAAATACATGGATAAACAAATCTTAAAAAAAATTCATTTCTCTATGCTACCTCAAACAACAGGCTCCAGGTAAACCTTTCCCCTGCATGAAAAGCACATCCCTACCTGGGATGTTTGTGTGAACTCTTCACTTCCTGTGCCTGGATTGCCTAGCAGATCTAGGAGTTGAGTTTCTATTTTTAAAATCCACTCAGAATTTGTTCAGATGGGGCAGGTTAAGTCAAACAGATATAAAGCGACTGCTTTGTAAGAAAGAATTTTTTATTCTTGCACCAGACATTCCATCAAGGGTCACATGGGGAAATGTGAAGGTCATTCAGGACAGGAGAAACAGGAGGCAAGCACCATGCAATTTCTGAGGAAACAATGAGGCAAGGAAAGAAAAACAAAACTGGTTTAGGATGGGCTAATGTGAATATTTCCCTAACAGGCTCTGCAGTATACAGAGAGTATTCTAAATTGCCTGGTACTTGGCCCTGGGGCTATTAAGGCTAGGGACACTTAGCCTGAAATGTCTGGGTTCAGTGGGGGCTTGTGTGGTAGACTGGTTAGTGTGCACACGAAAAGCATGCTCTGTAAACCCAGGAATTTGGTAATACTGGGAGAGAAGTTCCTCCCAAGTCAGGGAAACACCGGAAGTTAAAAAGCATCAAAAACATAGAAAATGGCTTTTATACAGTTTAGTACCATAGTTCTATATACATCATTGAGACACAGATGCAGACTTCTAGAAGCCACCTTCATCCATCTAGAGCCGTGGTTCTCAACCTTCCTAATGCCCTAATGCCTTAATATAGTTCCTCATGTTGTCAGGATCTCCAACCAAAAAATTATTCTGTTACTACTTCGTAACTGTAATTTTGCTACTGTTATGAATTGTAATGTAAATATCTGCGTTTTTCAATGGTCTCCAGTGACTCCTGTGAAAGGGTCATTCAGCTCACTGAAGGGGTCATGACCTACAGGTTGAGAACCACTGAGTTAGTGAGACAAGAACACCTCTTTTCTGTCTCTGACTGTGTAATTAAAATTTGACTTGACATTTTTCTCTGGACTTGGGAACAGATCAAGGTTTTTTTACTCCTGTTCTTAAAGGGGGAAAGGGAACAAAAACAAAAAATCTGCAAATATATCATTCTTAACCAATAGTTCTCAATGCAAATTGGCAAGAATGTGGCTCTGAATGAAACTCCTCACTGGTGCTAAGACAGACATTCCTCCTTTATGTTCTTTGAAGGGAATTGTTGTTCAAATCTTAGATGGTCTTTTAATAAAAAAATAAAATATATAAAACCAGTACCAGATATTGGGGTGAAGCTGAAAGATCAGAGAAGCAGAGCAGCCAGCCACTAGTTCTTACCTATACCAAATCCTCAGCTTAAAGACAGTGAGTTCCTGCTTCCTCATGCCTTATACACCTTTCTCTGGGATTAAAGGCATGTGTGCTTTCCAGTCCTGGGATTAAAGATGTGTGCCACCACTGCTTGGCTCTGTATCCAGTGTGGCCTTGAACTCACAGAGACCCTGACCTTTATGTCTAATCTAGTGGCTGGCTCTGTCTGATCCTCAGGCAAGTTTATTAGGGTACACAATATATCACCACAGGGAATCTTGAATGTCACTGCTCATTAGAGTACCTGTCCCCCTCTAAAATCTAACTAGGTCCACCGAGTTCCAACAACCCAATTCAAATGAGGCACATGAGGGTAAGATGCAATGGTACACACCAGGACGGACTCAGAATAGGCTTCTGCGGAAGGTAAGATTTGGAACAAGATACTTGGAAAAATGAAGACAGGTCTCTCTCCCACAGAAGTAGAGCAAGAGCGCTGTGGAATTTTAGCTGCAGCCACCATTGCTCTGTGGTTACCATGGTCACATCTTCTGCTTTGGTTAAATTTCACAATAGCAACAGAAAAAATTAGTTTATCAACACATATTGAGAGTTTAGTGCAAAGCTTTAAAATGTGGGTTACAGAATCTCAGAGATTCTCTGAGTTAGAGAATTGCTTATATAGAAATTAATTCTGTAAGGTATTTACATAGTAAATACAAGCAACTTATTCTATTACTGGACACCATGTGGGTCAATTATAATGGATAAATTGTAGGCTTCTAGTTCAATACTTTGATCCAATGATAAAATTGATGACTCTTTTTCCTTTGGGGGTAGGGAGCCTCCTAGAATCTCTCACCTAGAAATCTGGCCAGTAATCTAAAGCCAGTATTTTAATGAGAGAATAAAAACCCCATTTTTTTTTTCTGCTAAGAACTTGGATTGTTTCCATGATACTACTTGTATATGCAAACTATTTGGGGAGCTATCAGAAGAAAAAAAAATACCATTGACCTTAGCATTAAATGTATCTGGATATGTTGTATATTAATATACTGATATGTGATATTATGATTCTAGGAGTTCATAGTATTTCATAACAGCAGCTCATTCATATCAGTCAAGATCCAGATCTCTGACTTCTTGCCCAGCATTTCTTAGAAATTGGTTTGTCCTAAGATGGTTCTTGACTGTTTGAAGATGGATGCCGTTGCAATATCTTAGCCATCAGTGAAATGCAAATCAAAACCAAATCTCTCCCCAGCCAGAAAATCAGAATGGTTATCAATGAGGAAACAATGGGATGGGACATTCAATATGCTGTTGGTGAGAATTTAAATTAGTATAGTATCTATGAACATCAATATGGTGGTTCCTCAGAAGACTGAGAACTAGTGTATGACTCTACTACTAATATCCAACCAGAGGAACCAAGGCATCATGGACTAGAGATAACATTACACTGTGTTTACCATAGCACTATTCACAGTAGCCAGCTATGGACTCATCCAAATGCCCATCAGTGATAAGTGGGCAAAGAAAATGTAATGCATACACAATTATCATTCTGCCACAAGAAAGAAAAAAGTATGTCATTTATAAGAAAATAGATGGAATTAGATATCATCTTGTTAAACAGAATAAACCAGTCTCTTAGAAAAATATCATGTTTTCCCTCATAAGAGGAATTTAGAAAAGAAGTACATATAAGTAGAGAAAGGGAATATATGAGGATAGTAGGGAAAGAAGAGTAAATGTGATCAAGGTATATAATATACATACATGAAAATAACACACCCAAATCCATTATTCTGATTTCAAAAAGAAAGAAATCGGGTATGAGGGCATATGTCTGCAATTCCAGAACTTGGAAGGCTATCCATGAAGACCTTGAATTCAACAACCTAGGCTTTATATATAGTTCCAGGCCAGCCTGAGCTATATGTCCAGAGATGGTCTCAAAAGAGTGGCTGGGGTGGGGAGGGGGGCTAGTGATAAAGCTTAGTGATAGAACACTTACCCAGAATGCAATAGACCCTCAGTTCAGCAGCAGAGTCTCAGGGCACAGCTGCTTTTTAATCAGGTTCTGTTTTACCAGTTCTGTTTTTAGCATAGTCCACTGACAATGTTGACCTGTTATTTTTTAACTCTTTGGAGGGCCCACCACCCAGCTCCCAAATAAGTCACACATGGAGGCTTATTCTTAATTATAAATGCCCAGCCTTAGATTGGCTTGTTTCTTGCCAGCTTTTCTTAAATTATCCTGTCTACCTTTTGCCTCTGAGCTTCTTCCTTTTCTTACTTCTGTATATCTTACTTTCGCTCTTACCCTGTGACTGGCTGTGTGCCTGTGTGGCTGGCCCGTAGAGTCCTCCTCTCCTTGTTCTCTTGCTCTTCTCTTCCTCTCAGATTTCTTCTTCTATTTATTTTCTCTTCCTGCCAGCCCTGCCTATCCTGTCTCCTGCCTTGCTATTGGCTGTTCAGCTCTTTATTAGACCAATCAGCTGTTTTAGACAGGCACAGTAACACAGCTTTACAGAGTTAAACAAATGCAACATAAAAGAATGCACACATCTTTGCATCATTAAAACAAATGTTCCACAGCATAAACAAATGTAACACATCATGAAATAATATCCACAACAGCAACTTTTATTGAATTGGAGAATATAGGATGTCTCCATGCTTACAGTGCTTTTCCTCTTTAAAGCACCTCAATGTCCATCGTATGTTGTTAAGCCCTCCTGGGTTGTCTCACCATCCTGGTCCATGTTGCTCCCATTGATGGTGTCTTTAGGAAGTCTGCTTCCTAAGATTAAGGTCCACACACAGGAAATAGCCTCTCTCCCAACCTCAGACCAGCTTTATCCCAAAGTATAGCATTTTGTCTGTTACAGGTGAGGAGAAAGCTTCTCCTTTTAATGCAGATTTCTAAAACATCTATGTATGAGGAAGAGAAAAAAACATTATTTCCAGTCAAAGCATAAAGCATCTTACCTTTTAAGTAGTTTGAATTTCAGCTATCTGTAATACAAAGAGGTTTGGTATTTCAACTTAACAACACATCATGGCCATTGAGAATAGGAAATATTAAATTTAGCTCTGCCTATTACTTCTAACTTTTATAAATATCCTAAGCCTGTTTTTCTTCCATACAGCAAAGATATTATCTGTTCTGAATGCTTTTAGTAATGTTTTTAATTTGGTAAATTAATATGTTTAATCCTTTAAACCATGCTTCTTAAAGTGTTGCCTCTGGACCTGCTACATCAGCAATTTCCGGAAAAAATGCTAAAAGCAAAACTGTCAGGCTGCACTATAATCCTTCAGAATGAGAAACCCTGGGGCAGGACTGAATATTCTGTCAGATCATGTAAAAATGGGTTTAAGCTTGCCTATTGCAAAGATTGAAACTCAAGTCACTATAGCTTTATTATATCAGTTTAGGACATGACATGCATATTGTGATGTTATTAAAATTAAAATGCACTAGCAAACACAAAACACAAGCAAGACTGCTTGGCATTCTAGGTCACTGTTAAAGTCCTAAGGGTGTTTTGTTCAAATTACTTAACCAGTGGCTCGGAATCCTTGGGTTAAAAATAAAGCATGAAAGCTTTATTATAAGCAAAGGTAAGTCAGTGGTAAAAAGATGTCTTTAAGAAAGAAAGAACGGGGACTGGAGAGATGGTTCAGCAATTTAGAACACTGGCTGCTCTTCCAGAGGACCCAGGTTCAATTCCTAGCACCCACGTGGCAAATCATAACCGCTTGCAACTCCTGTTTCAGGCAATCCAACACCTTCATACTTACATACATGCAGGCAAAACACAAAAACAAATGAAATAAAAATAACTTAAAAAAAAAGAAAGAAGGAAAGAAAAAAATAAACCATAAAGAAAGGTTGTTTCTTCTTTTCCTACCCCTTTGTGCATATGTCTCATAATCAAAGGACTCTGATGAACACTGCAGATGTGCATATCTACTCTAGGGATATCTGTTCCCCAATTCATATTTTGAAATCTGTGAAGGAGATGATTTCAGTGGGTGAAGGCTTTGGGAAGTGATTAGGTCATGAGCATGGAGCCCTCTGGATTGGTGTCATCGCAGAAGAGGTCTCAGGAAGCTGCCTTGCCCCTTCCATGGCTGAAGATGTGCAAGGAACCTGGTGTAAGGAAGAAGCCACTCACAGACAACCTGCCTGCTGTGGGATAATGCTTTTGTACATTGGTTTAATAAAACGTTGATTGGTTAGTAGCCAGGCAGGAAGTATAGATTGGATAAGCAGACAGGGAGAATTCTGGGAAGAGAAAGGCTTAGTTGGGAGACACCAGCCCACCATCCAGGGAGCAGAATGTAACGGCACACAGGTAAAGCCATGGAACATGTGGTGACATATAGATTAACAGAAACGGGCTGAGTTTAAGTTTAAGAGCTAACCAGTAGGAAGCCTGAGCTAACGGTGGAGCAGTTTTAATTAATATAAGCTTCTGAGTGATTATTTTATAAGCAGCTGTGGGGGTCCGTGGGACTGGGCAGGACCAGCAAAAACTTCAGCTATACCTACCCATCCCGCTGATTTTGGATTTCTCTGCTTCCACAACTACAGATTGGTTCGTTTGTCCTTTTTTTTTTTTTTTTTTTTTTTTGTGACAGAATCTCACTATGTAGTCCCGACTGGCCTGGAACTCACTATGTAGACCAGGCTGACTTTGAACTCACAAAGATCTTCCTGTCTCTACCTCCCAAGTACTGGGATTAAAGGTGTGTGCCACCAAGACACATTAGCTTCTGCAATTGTGAGAATAAATGTTTGTTTACAATAATCTAGTTTATGATATTTTATTACATTGATCTGGATGGTCAGTGATGTGTGCTAGTCCCCTAGCACCCCTGAGGCAGGAAACCTTCTGAGGACCACTGCATTCTGATCCTAACACAGTGCATGCCATAAAGAGAATCTCAGTAAGCATCTGTGATCTGAATCTTCTTATCCCCTATCGCTTGTCAAGGTCGAGGCTCCAGCATTGGATATCTGTATGTACCATGTGTGAACAGGCAATGGGTTCTCATATAAGTAGATAAGTAAATGAAGCCATTCACTTACACACACTGAATTCTGTTCTCATACTCAGTACACATTCTGGTGTACTATATAAAGCTTTTCTGGAAATAAGTAGAATTGCATTAGCGCCAAAGGAATTTCTCTTGCAAAAATTTGGTTGCCAATAAAAAAAATTACGTTAGAGAGTTTTTGCACAGGCTACCTCAATAGGGATGGAGAAAAGCTAGCTAGTAAAGAGAAGACCATTTCAGGGACCAACCTGAACTGGGAAACAAATCAATTCTGTGCATTCTGAACTAAAACTATTTAAAAACAACGATCAATGATAATAAACATTTAACATAATAAAATACTAGGGAATGGTTGTTAATATTCTGATCTGCCCCTTAAAATCCCTTGGCACCGCCCTGCATCCTGATGTAAAAGCCTCGTTCTAAGGAAAACCTCCTCCCCTTCCTCCCTCTTTTCCGCTTCTCTTCCCATAAGGTGCGCACTCTCTACCTCTTTCTTCTTCTCTCTCTTTCTCTCTGTCTCTCTCTTTCCTATCTTTCTCTTCATCCCTCTATTATAATAAACTTTCCACATGGATGCAGCATCTGAGGTGTGAATTACTGGCCGTTGCCACTGATACCATGCCCACACGGCATGCATCTGCCCAGCCCACCACTGCATCTGCCCAGCATGTTTCCCTGCACAGGAGGGATACCCTCAGGGTCATCCCCCCCCCCCACAGCGTGCAATAATTCGTAACAATGGTAGTATGCATGTTTCCACTTGCCTTTGCAAGTCTGCCGTGTAATGTTTTTCTAAACATATTTCTTATGTAGTGACTTATATGAATTTTTTTTCTATTTGTGGTTGATTTCTTGAGAAGATTCAAGATCACATCGTTCTCTAATTGTATATACAGAGAACCAAATTTGAAGATATTTTGTTTTTTACTTTCCTTTTTTTTTTTAGTGGCTTAAGAAAGATAGAGACAGGAATCTATCATCATAAAAAAGAAACAAACAACATATCTCTCATGAGAGCAACCTTGTTGAAATTAGATTTGTCTTTTTTTTTCTTTTCTTTTCTAACCTCCCAGTCCCCCTCTTTGTTTTTCGAGACAGAGTTTCTTCTGTTTAACAGCCTTGCCTGTCCTGGAACTTGCTTTGTAGACTAGGTTGGCCTCGAACTTAAGAGATCCTCCTGCCTCTACCTTGAGTGCTAGGATTGAAGGTGTGTGCCACCAGGCCCGGCTGCCCAACTCTTCAGTAAAATTCCACCCCTTCCCTTATTACTGCTTTTGAGAGACCGGCAGTTAGACAGACTCTATGGTAAGCAGATACAGGGAGAAGGGCCATGGCTAGGTAATACATGTGACCAGCTTCTTCCTTACTCTCCTGACTTAAAAACCTGGTAGCTTAAACCTGTGGTTCTTGACTTTTCTGACGATTCGACCCTTTAATACAGTTCTCATGTGGTGGTGACCTCCCCACCACCACCATAAAATGGTTTCATTGCTACTTCCTAACTGTGATTTTGCTGCTGTTATGAATTGTAATGTAAATATCTGATATGTGGCCCCTGGGAAGGTCACGACCCGTAGACTGAGAAAGGCTGCCTTAAACCAAAGGCTTTGTAGGCTTTTGTCTCCCACTGATAGACTAGCTCTACAAGTTCAAGGCTGCTCAGGACAGGCCACGCATTAGTTCTGGGCCAATGAACCATACTTACTTTCTTCAAACTGGCCAGCTCTAAAGTAGGAGAGGAAAGCTCTTCAGAACCTTTGAGGAGAAACTGGATTTTTTGACTTTCAGAATGCCCCCCTCTGCTTTCAGAGGGTCTTTTTCCTCATGTGTCTACTGCAAATGTGTTTCTTTACCTTCAATAAACATCTTACTCCAACTGCTGATTCGGTCTCTGCTGCTACCTACTGAGCTCCTGGTTTTTCCTGCCTTTTAATTGTTTATCTGGCAGAGAAAATGAACCCGATCAAGACCTCTAGACTATATAGCTTTTTAAAAAAACTTAATAGCATGTTACTGGCAGTATGTACTGGTAAAGGGCACTGAGAGTACTCAATCTTTCTTGCCTTAAAGTCCTTTATTTTTGGAACTCAAATTCCCAACAGGACACAGTTTGGGAAAGGCTACTGAATTTCAAAATCAGTGTTAGCTCCTTCCTGAACTAACTAACAGCCCACAGCACACTGCCCCAGATTATGGTTTTCTTCAATAGGCCTTTCCCAGAAGAAACTTTAGTCAAAAAGAAAAAGAAATACAGCTCAAGTTCAAAAAAGAAAGGGGAAAAAGAAATGCTAGTCTGAACAAAAAAGAAGTGAATGAATCATTATTTATAAAATTTAAAATTTCTGTTAATAATGATTTTTTTTTCTTTTCTACAGGCTTTCCCATGAGAAGCATCAGAACCCCCTCCCCTGCTGCCACATGAGACTTTGTGCTATGACTTTGGTCCAACTCAGATGAAGGTTTGAACCTGGCCTTGATCCTGTTCTTGTTGTTCTGTATTATCTCAGCCATACCTATCTGCCAAGCTTATAGCAAAGCCCCCTCCTTGGTGCCCAATTCCCTGCTCTACTGATTCCTCAGGTCTGTCTGGGGATCTTTGTTGTGCTTCCTTACCGAGATTGTGTGGCTAGACAACTAGGGATAAGAATTGGTCTCATTTCTGCCATCTACTACCGCTGTAAATATTTCTCCACCTCAAGGAAGTGATGCAAGCTTTGCATTTGTGTTGATGGCCTAGCGACTTTTTTGTTGGAGTGAAAGAAAAGTTACCAGCTATACAGGAGTCAACCTGAGGGCCGAGTGGTTTTGTTTAAAAGAGCAAAATGAAAACCTGGCGGATTGAGTTTGGAACGATGAAGTCTACCATTTGGCTCTGAGATGAGAGCTGAATGCAGTAGGAGCAGAAGGTTGTTCTGAGAGTCTTGAGAATGATGCGGGGAGGAAGGGGGGACGAGAATAAGAGGGGAAAAAGAGAAAGGTGGGGGAATTGGAAAGGGAAGAGAAGGGAGTGTTTAAGAGGTTGGCCCCAGGCTGGGAAAGAGAAAGGTAAGGTGTCGGGTCTCTAAATATCACTGCAAGAGCCAAATGCCCTGCAGCTCCAGGGATGGGATCTCAGCTGCTCAGCCCCAGCCTCGGGGGGAAGCAAATGAATGCTAAGTGAGAAAAAGCACAACTGAAACGCAGACAAGGGGTCAATCAGCAAGGTGATAACAGGAAGACTCTGTCACCAGTCATTAGCACTTAGACCACAGGCTCTACAAGGCAACTGACTTTCTGTCTTTCTCAAACTGCCCTGGCACTAAGCACACCAGTGTCTGGTAAACAGCAGGCACATGTTAAACGTCTCTTTAATGACTGGGTGTGGAGTGTGCTAATGGCACGGAGGATGAATATTCAGTGGCTCGGGGAAAGGAAGGGAAGGCCCGCATGACTAAGATTTCACAAGTGAGGGGAGGGGGCTTGGATGGATGGAGCTGTATAAAGCTGGTTGGGCAGGAAGGCTGGACAGATTGCTTTTTACACTTGTTGACACCGAATTTTGTAAAGCGCTCAGAATAAATACTGTACTGCTAAGTACATGCTGCACCGAATGCAGAAGATTTAATTAGCAGTGTAGTCTGTGACTGGAAGTGCACCTTCAGAGAGATGGTAGGTAGAGAGTTAGTATGGGAGTAGAGAGTTAACATGCACCTAGAGACAACTTTTAAATGCCCGATATTGGCATCTCATTATTTTCTGGCCTAAAATTTTGTCCCTCTGATAGATATTTTAATGACAGGGCTCTTGGCTCTAAAGAGCAGAGGAAAACATTTACCTTTTTGTCATCAACAATCCATATAAAGAAATCTTTTATTAGTTATACAAAATTTGGAACATCCAAAGTCCAGGAGATTTTTTTTTTAAACCTGTTTAAAAGACATTGGTTTATCACAGGATAAGCACAGAGGCAGATAATGAAAGGCTGCCTACTCCCATCTCTTTTTGCAGGTAAAACCACAAATGCATATGCTTCTTTTTAGCTTCCTAGGGATACAGAAGTTACCCATTTTATGGAATAATACTAAAATAATGGTATAAATTAAAGCCATCAGTATTTGCCAGTTTTTGCACACTGCAGACAGCTGTTTGGATGTCAAGATATCAACACTTGTGTAATTAATGGGCTTGTCACAGTTTGTAATCATTGTGTTAATGCGCAGGATTTAGAAAGATTGTCCTTCTTAGGATATGATGGCTACAAAAAAAGAAAAGAAAAAGTAAAATGTTAACAAAACGATGCAGCAAAACATAAAACTGAGAAACAGTTTCCTGTTTAAATCCTTGGTAAACAGCTGTCAGATGGCAATCTGTTTACTTATACTTCGGATGTTCACAGCTGGTGGGGTAGCCAGTTTGGGGCGCCATTGAAAAGTGCCACATCACAAACTGGGTAACTTAGAATTGACACTTAATCCTCACCACCTTGGAGGCTGGAAGTCTGGGTTGAGGTGGCCAGCACAAACAGGCCCTACTGAGTGTCTTCTTTCTGGCCGCAGACAGCTGCCCAATGGCCTTTCATGGTGGCTTGAGGGAGTCTTCTGGGGCCCCTTTCACAAGAACACTGATTTCATGTACGGTGGCTCCACCCTCACGGCCCAATTACAGGTCAAAGACCACACCTCTCAATGCCATCACACTTGGAGTTAGGATTCAACTTATGAAGCTGGCTGGAGCAGAGCACATTCCATGACAAGGTTCTGGGTATCTCCACCTCTGTTCTCTTATCCATGTCTTATCTTGCAATGACCACTTACAGGTAAAGAGTAGGGATGGAGAACTCAGGCACTGGGCTTGCTCTTTCTGGGGAACTGTTGGACTTGGTTTTCTCTGTGATGCTCTTACTTGCACTGGAGTTGCTGCTGGAGCTGTACCTTAAGAACAGGAACCACCCCTAGAGTGCAGTCAGGCACTGGACCTGCTATGAGGAGGGGCAGATGGGGTTCCAAAAAAATGTTTGTATTAATCTATGTTTTATTTATCCCTGGAGAAAACTTTCTGAGTTGGGTGAGCTGGGCCTGGAACAATGGGAACCAGAAATGACTAGTTCCATTTCATTTCATAAATGTATGCTCAATATGCCAGAGGCTCATCTGAGTTTTATAGGATTCCCCCAGTCAACTTAATACGGTGATTTGGCTTTCCAGGTGAAATGTTTTCCAGAAATGTTATACTCCAGAATAACAGACATTAATTTTTCTCATTGGTTGAACAGAAGGACACTGTGTCATGGGTATGAAAAGAGGGTTTTAACACTTCATCTGGTATCATCCCATTGGCGACACATATTAGTGGCAGATCTTCAGGTAAATTATTTAACTTCTCTGAATGTCCAATTCATTATCTGGAAAACGAAGATAGTTGTAGTTGTGTTAGCCCACAAAGTTCTACATGTGATAATATACACAAAGTCACCTAGCAGCTACAGAAATATAGCAAATGTTGGCTCACATTTGAGGGCATCCTGTGACCCCATTGGCCATTTCTTCTTTGACCATCCTCTTTTTATCTTAAGGTGTAATGGAAAAAAAACTTGGAGAGATCCAGACATGCATGAGCAGCAGTTTCTAATGGACTCTCCAACCTTGTAGTTAATTAATATTTCTGTCAAGAGGCCTTCTAATAAACATAGGGATATTGGGGTAACTATAAACTATTGTGAAAATTCACTTCAACTGTGTAGATGGGTGAGTCCCTCTGATTCTAAGGTTCAGAACAGTAGACAGCCAGAATGTTGCCATGGTCCAAGTTCCTACAAAATGTTGCACATGCTCCTTTACAACATCAGCTCCTGTCTAGTCCTCTCTGAGAGTTGACTCCCCTTTCACAGCAAAAGTTCAAGCAAGGGATGGTAGGGAACACCTGGAACCCCAGCACCTGGAGGGTGGAAGCAAGAGGATTTGGAATTCAAGGTCAGGTTTGGCTATATAATGAGTTTGGGGACAGCCTGGGCTTCATGAGACCCTGTTGAAGAGGAGGAACAGAAGGAACAGGATGGGGAAGAGGAGGAAGAAGAGGAGGAGTTGCTGGTGGTTGAAGAAGCTGCTGCCAAAAAAAAAACAAAAAAAACCAAATCAAAACAAAACAAAAAAAATCATACAAACACAAGTAAAGTTGAACTGGGTCTGTTCCTAAGCACTTGCACTTAGATACCTAAGGTGAAAAATACTTTGGGAGTGAAGAAATAAACAAACAGCTCTCCTTCCTTTTCAGTTACAAAGTCAATAGGTACTTACTATGAAAATAAACATTCAGAAATGTTTTTTATAAAGTAGAGCAAGTCTTGCTTTGTAAGCCACTTAAGATGAGAGACAAAGAAAGGTATAGGGTAATTCTGTTAAGCATTAACAAACTAGGTAAATGCTCAACATGGAGGCATGTGTAACACTTTAAAGGAACAGGGGTCATGGAACCAAAGTGGAAAGCAGAGAGAGGCTCCACCACTTCCGCTCTCCTGAAGTGGGCTGTTCCCCTAACTGAGTAAAAGCCCTGAACAAGAAGCCTGGCTGTGTTGCTGTTTTGGAGACTGCCTCCCTCCTCGGACCCTAGGAAGAGACCCCGGCACAGCAACCAGAAAGCTTGTTCCTGTGTTGAGCAGGATAGCTAGGTGCCCGCTAAGAGACCTACACACTTCCCCATCCTTCTCCTCAGTCCTAGCTTATCTGCTGGACCAAGGCCACATTGTCTTCTAATGGGTACCTCAAGTAAGAATTTGAAAACCAAACCCAAGCAACTTTGTCACTTTGATAGCAATCACCAAACTGTTTTCTCCAAAGGAGGTATCACTTCATAGTTCCATGAATATTTTTTGACACCCTTTTGACAAAACTGGACTTCAGAAATCCTTCAGTCTCTGTAAAATGTATTTCTAATTGTTTATTTTTATTAAGCATTGTTGGTGAAGAAGAACATTAAGGAAGAGACTGCCCAGTGGTTGATAGCACTTGCTGTTCTCACAGAGAACACCCAGTTGAGTTCCCAGAACCCACATGGTGGATTACAACCCACCTTGACCCTAGTTCCAGGGGAATTAAGTGCTTTCTTCTGGCCTCCTCAGGCACCATGTAGACATGATGTGAACTTACATACATGCAGACAATCAAAACTCACTTCTAGGGGTGTCAGTATAATTAAGTCAATGCAGAAGGTCTATCACAGATGATGCACTTTTTTTTTTTTTTACAGGACTTGACACATTGTCAGCTTTGAATAACTCAACTCCTTTCCTCCCAGTCTGTAGCTCTTCTCTTCTGAGGGTCAGTGATTATTTGACCAGAGCCCAAAAGCTGGACCTGTGAGGTGAATGCTAAACAATGAATTATTTGACCAACATTGAAATTTAAAAAGCATCCAGAGCCCTGCAAGTAGGAGGGCATTGAACACTGAGGCGGCTGGTGAGATGGTCAGTAGATAAAGGTACCTGTGGCCTGGCTTGACTACCTGATTTAAATCCCCGGGACCTATATAGTGGAAGGACAGCTGTTCTCCAATGTCCATATGCAGTGCTTGAGCACACATACAAAATAAATAAATGTAATTAAAAGAACATTGGGAATCTTGCACATGTTTGTGAGCCATTTTACTAATCACATGAATTACTTGTTGGGAAGGATGTGTCTTCATGGTTTGATTTTTATGGGCCCAAAACAAATCTGTATATTTTCTGGATATTAATCCATTTGTTGTTAAGTAGCAATTGTTTCCTGGTGTATTAATTATAGTTTCCACCAACCAGATGTTCCACATGTTGTGTGCCTGGGACGTACTATGAAAGGAGAGAAAATCTGGAGACTGTTATTACAACTTTTGAAACTTGGATTGTACAGTGCAGGGACATTCTTCACTTATGGAGCAAAAAAGTCAACTTCCTTATAGACTCAAATTCCCTTTTTGGTGTAACCTCCAAGCTGGCAAAATCATTATAGCAGATACTTACACATGCAGAACTATAGTTGAGACCCTGGTCTGAGAGACTTTGGGGGAAAGGATGGTCTCCCAGAAAGACCTAAGCTCCTTGCTAATGTGGCTTTCTCACATTTGAATCATCACTGTAAGTCACAATATAGACAGTTTAGGCACTGTGCCCTATTCTTTCTGAGAAGTTCTTGCCCTTGAGACAGTTGCTCACAGTAGATAAGACCCCTGTGACAGATAGAGGATGGAACTGGTAGGGTCTCCAGTTAAGCTGAGGAAGGACTAAATGGGAATGGAATCAGCTTGGTCAGTCAGTCTCAGCCTGGAGTGAGATGTTCTTTAAAACTGAACAACTTGCTGGGTGATGGTGGCACACACCTTTAATCCCAGCACTTGGGGAGGCAGAGACAGAGGGGTTTCTATGAGTTTGAGGCCAGCCTGGTCTACAGAGTGAGTTCTAGGACAACTGGGGCTATACAAAGAAATTCTGTCTCGAAAAACCAAAAGGGAAAACAAAAACAAAAACAAAAACTGAACACTCTTCCCCAAAAAACTTGAAAAAACTTAAGGCTTGAGAAATGTTTAAAAAGCAAGCATTTAGGAATTATTACTACTAAGTTACTGTGTTATAAGAAAGTAGATTGCCACTTTTTGGGCATTTTCTGTCCTGGAGTTAGCCATCTGTGAACTAATACAACTGTCCTAATGAGAACATTCATTTAGAAGTAGGTCTCTCCCAAAAGGTGCAGGAGGCAGTCTTCCCCATGACTGACGCTACAAAAGGCTGGGCTTGGATAGGATAGGTCTCCACAGCCTACATGTGAGCACAGAAGAGCCTTCCTCTAGACTGTGCATGTGGACACTCTGGGGAAGTATAGGGAGCCTGGCTTCTCCCCATTACTGGATATGCAAAGGTAAACATGAAGCAGTATAATTTTCTTTTAAATGGACTGCATCATTCACAAAATACAAGACTAACTAATAGGACCAGCCCTGTATGCCTAAGTATTATGACCCCTTAGGTCTCTGAAAGGCCTGACATATCCCCAGGGTTCTTTCAATCTGATTCCTCCTACCTTATTAGAATACATCTACAAAAAAAGCAAAAATCAAATATATTTACATTTTGAAACCCACCCCCCACCCTCCCCCTACCCCCCCCGCACCACCACCACCACCAAACACCAAAAGCATTAAAAGCTAGCAACCTAACAAGCCTGGCTTAATCCTTTATTAACTTTCATGAGAACTCAAAATATCTTCATACTAGCAACCGAGTACCTATACAATAATGTCTTCAATTTGTAAGAATGAGTATTATACAGATCAAAACTTTCCATATAGAAGTATATGCCTTAAAATGAAAATAGATTTAGTTTGGTCTCTAGCGCTTGCATTTGAATCCCAGCTCCCACGTCGTCGTTTCTAGCCATAGACAATTCTGGTTTGCACGGAGGAGCTGGGCAACCATGAAGGGTGGCTGACTCATGGTGGCTCGTGACTGGTAGCTCATATTCTCTGTGTTATTTTAAAGGTCTACATTTGACTTCTTGAATTGATGGTTTTGTGGTATGAGAGGGGGAACACAGTGCCGAGAATTCCTTCCACCCTTGTGTTTTAATCTTCCTAATAAGCATTATAAAATTTGTATTGTTTCACTTCCCAGCTAATCAAAAAGGAAGCATGTGTAGGGGAGGGGGGAAGCCACTTGGCTAAGGTCACAGAGCAGGCCACCGGGAAAGGCAGCATTCCAGGGTGGGTGAGCAGGTTATCCCTAATCTTTGCAGAACATGAAAAGTCACGGAGGTCACCTAAAAACCACCAGAGGCCTCCTCCCTTAGCCTACTGCTTTGCAGATTAAAAAATCTAGGTGTATGGTGCTGGAGAGATGGCTTGGTGGTTAAGAGTGCACTCTGCTCTTCCAGAGGTCCTGAGTTCAATTCCCAGAAACCGCATGGTGGCTCACAAAATAAGTCTCGGAGTATAGTGCATGCATGTAATATCAGCACTTGGAAGAATGAGGCAGGAGGATTACCCTGAGTCTCAGGCTAGCCTGGGTTGCACAGCAAGATAAAAAAGATAACAGCAACAACAAAATAAAAACAAAATGGAGGAGACTCTAGGAATGTGCCTCCCCACCCCACCACTACACAAATGGGTATCCAAGTACTCCAGAGTCTGAAGAAAGGGAATCTAGAGTTCCATACCAGTCTAGATTGCATAGGGAGGTGCTGCCGAAAACCAATCAAACAAACAAAACCTGGGGGATCAGGAGGAATAAAGCAAAATTCAGGTTTAATTTTGAAGATCATGAAGACGAGCACTTAGAAGAACTCAGCAGAAACTAAAAGTGTGTGGTAATTCTCCAGAACATTTATCCAGATAGACAAATTCCAGGAATCTTTTTGACTACCCTGGTGTCCCAAGAGCCAAGCTTATAATTACAAAATCTATGTGAGTTATGTCAAAGGCAATTTGTAGAAAGGTCAGAGAATATGAGCGATCTGAACACTTTCCATGTTTTGATTGGAAGAACAGCAAGTGGTACTTCCTAGGGCTCTCAGTATAATTAAGACAAATACCAGAAGGTCCATCACAGACGACAGACTTTGTTACAGGACTTGACACATTGTCAGCTTTGAATAACACTCAACTCCTTTCCTCCCAGTCTGTAGCTCTTCTCTCCTGAGGGTCATTTGATTGCATGTGATTATTTGACCAGAGCCCAAAGGCTGGAGCTGTGAGTTGAATGCTGAACAATGAACTATTTGACCAACATCGAAATTTAAAAAGCATTCAGAGCTATGCAAGTATGAGGTCATTATTAACACAGACTTTTTCCTAGGGAGAGCTACAGAAAGAGAAGGGAGGAAGGGAGGGAGGAAGGAGGGAGGGAAGGGAGGAAGGAAGGAAGGAAGGAAGGAAGGAAGGAAGGAAGGGGGGAGGAGGGAACCCTATCTTCATTCTTACTGAGCTAACAGCTCGTTTAAAGATACAACATGTACTAAATGTCTACGGCTACTCCCTGTAACACTAACACTTTTGTCTTTGAAGACCAGAGCCTGCAAATTGTGTGGCTTTGTGAACACCCCTCCCTTTCTGCTAGGGACCAAAAGCCCGCTGTGTCTGATGTCACAGACAGTCCAGGCAGCGACCAAACTCTGCTGATTTCTGCCTCCAGTAAGCACCAAGGAGGAGAATCCCTCACAGCCTCCCGCTTTTACTCCCCGCAGCTTTCCAAACAAACTGGGGCGGGATGGGAGTGTCTTCTTGGCTCTGGAAATCAATCCTCCTACCTTGTCCTGAAGCTACCCGCCGCCCTTCCCGGGCCCTCCCTTCGCAGTGATTTTCCTGTCCTGGACTCCCGGCAAGACCGAGCGGACCCCGCCCTAAAGGTAGGAGCCCGGTCCTGCGGCTGCCGCCCGGAGGGTCTCAGAGCCCTCCGCCAGTCTCCGCGCAGCACTTTCGGCGCGAATTTGGGGGCGGCGGCCACGGTGCATCTGGCGCCAGCGACAAGGAGGAGCTTCCAGCGGCGTCGCACGCAGCCGCCGGGGACGCGGGGCCGGGCGCCGCGGACAGTGAGGGGACCGGCGGTCGTGTCGGACTCCCGGGGACGCAGCGCCCTGCTCGGCTCCCCCGGGCCACATCTAGGGAGAAGGGATCGTGTCCGTGCCACCTCGCTTCGGCTCCCGCTTGCCCCGGGCTCGGGGACCCGATGCGACAGGCTCCACGGGACGGAGGGCAGCGCGCTGCGGAGAGCGGAGAGCCCCGGCCGTGGAGTCCCGCACATGCCTCTGCCGTCACCGCACCCGGGCCTCGGCGGGTAACTCTCTGCGACTGGCGGCGCTGCGGGTTTGCTTGGCTGGGGGGTGCGGGGAGACTGCGTTCCACACCCAGCTCGGGGTTTGGGGGTGCTGTCCAAGACAGTCCGCTTCTGCAACCTCTGAGGAGTAGGGAAGGGGACTCGGTGCGCTCTCGGTCCCCTCCGTCCCCTGCCAGCCCTTGGAGAGGGGCGGAAGCCATAGGGCCCCGAGACCCTCCAGGCAACCCGGTGTGCGGGGTGGCCGGCCGGGAGCTTCTCCCGCGGTGTCCTGGAGCTGCTAGGAAGGACCCCCGGCGAGCAGCGCCCAGAGGGGCATGGGGACCCGCCTCTCCTTGATCTCCCTCCGAGTCTGTGCGCTGGGAGGAGGCCGACCCGGGTGCATGGTTCCTCGCTCACCATTGTTTGTGAAAGGGTCTGGAAGCGAGGAGGGGCGAGGGAGCCTGGAAGGTTCTCCTCATTTACCACACAAAGTTTCCCCGAGAAACCCTCCTTGCCACGTTAAAACTAAACCTAACGAAACACCGAGGCAGCTTGTTTGGAGCAAAGGGCTAAAGCTGAGAAAACGGCTGTTTGGGCTGCCGTGAGTTTTTAAGATAAGGGAGAAGAAACGTGTTATTTTGCGGTCCTTGCCTCCGGAGCCCCCGTGGGCTTCAGCTCCCTTCTTGTGCACTGTTATTTTTGGCTTAAAAGAAAATCTATAAAAAAGCGAATTCTAGAAACTAAAGAAACTCGAAGCGCCTTCTTTTAGGATCTTCAGAGGAAGCCAGGAGAAGGACAGGCTGGGGTGAAGAATTTTGTTTATAGGTAATGTTTAAAATTGTGGGTGGGGTGGGGTGGGAAGGACGTAGTAGATGCTAGCCTATCAGAAACCACACAGCTTCTAAATTCTGAAGTCAAATTTATTTTTCAGAGGGCCACCTTAGTACCATGATTAGTGGGCGGTTTAGAATCGCAGATTCGTGTTGGCTCCTGTGCCCCATCCTGCTGACCTTCAGGCCTAGTAACACTTCCTGAGATCTCCTTGGCCGCTTCTATTAGGCTTGCCTGACTGACTTTCCGGGTCTTCAAATCTAATTTTCCCTTCCAGCTTCTGACTGTGGAACTATCTTTTTATTTACACGCTGTTGTTAAACATTTGAGAAGACCCGACCAAAATGCCTAGTTATTTTTCATCAGAAAGCAAGTTGATTTGATGTTTGTTAATTGGTTCCTGTTGCCTCTTTTTCATGTTACCAAGGATTGCTTTTCAAACCAAGATCAGGAAAAAAACAAACAACAAAAAATCCCCCTTAGTTAATTTGACTTTGAATAAGGCTATCTGTTTCAGAGGCTCCTTAGATAATGGCAATTTTGGATCAAGGGAACTTTTGTAGGAAATACTTGTATGAGTCTGACTTGTTTTTCCAAGCTGCCTCTAAGGCTAATGTATAAAGGGCAGAGTGGTCATTCATTGCTTAATAGCCCTTTCCTTGGAAAATGTTCTTGCCCAGTCCCTGCCCCACCGTCACTTTCAGATCCCACTGTGTCTTGATGTAGAAGTCAACTAAATGGCACTGTAATTGTGAAAATATTTTAGGAGACTGATGGCAGGTGCCATTTTTTTTTTCTGTCCCAAATCAATACAAAAAGAATGTAAGAATCAGGAAGAGTGTATGGGCCTGACAGAAGAATGCAACCAGAATGCATCAGTCTGTCTTTTGTGAAACTGTAATTCTCAAGTTTCCCATTGCAGAACTCAGTGGCAGAGGACAGAATTCCACAGCCCCTTCCTTCTGTTAGAGATATTTCTGTGTTCCACATTGTGAAGCACAGATGAATAATGTCCTGCTTCCTACACTCCCCAATAAGCATTGTCAGCTCACCACACAGATTCCAGATGGCCTTGATGGAAATTATGATTCTTTACAGGATTAGGGACATCCCTTTAACCTGCATCTAGATAGCGTCCGTGGACGAGGGGATGGCAGCATGGAGTGTGTATGGAGCGCCCAACTTTGGTCCTTGGTGTGCTCTCCCAGGCCATTTCTTGTAATTTTCTCAGCAATATTGAGACAGAAACGTTAGCCCCCTTTTAAAGTTTAAAACAAGAAGACGTCTTTAAGTTGAGCTGCAATGAATCCTGTGAGTCTGTCTCTGCCCATATTACATCTTTAGGGAACCTTACAAACGACACAGCATGCATTCTTCACAAATTCTTCCATTCTTTGTTTACATCTTCACACACACACACACACACACACACACACACACACACTCACTCACTCACCCACACACTACTTAGAGCTTGTTCTGGTTGGTGGGTCCTTCCTAATTACCACTCCAGAGAGGCTGGAGAGATGGTTTGCATGCTTTGGTGCCCTTCGAGTTGGACACTCTAAGATTTTCACTTTGTGTCTGTAGTCTGTAGAGTTTTAATGCACCCGTGGATACACTGTATCTGGCCAGTCTAGGCAGTCAGCTGTCTCCAGTGGGTTATATTCTAAACTTCTTTGCTTCCAAAAAAATATAGTTTTACGGAGGCTCCTCCTTCCCTTCAAAGGCCGGCTGTGTCTTGCCTGTTAGCAGTATTTCAGAGTCCCATTCTCATCCGTCACGATAAGAGGAAGCTTTCTCTTATGTCCTCCTACTACCTTGGATAATAGCATACTCCACAGTTTGGAGTTAGCTCTTAGGACTTGAAAATGTGTTGGAGAAAGAGACATAGCTCAACGGGTAAAAGTGCTTCCTGTCAAGTCTGAGATCAATTTTGGGGACCGACGTGGTGGAAAGAAAGAACGGATCCCAAAAGATGTATAATGTCATGGAGCAAGTTTGGCATGTGGGGCAAAATACTACACAGGGCATTGCATGTGCCAGTTCTTACTGGTTACCCATCAGCCTGGGAGAAATAGAGTTGACTGGCTTTTTACGAGTGGCAGGAACTCTTTCCTGATGGTGACACTTCCTATTGCTGTCACCTCAGACTCGATCAAGCACTTGACTCTTGTTCCCTCAGGCTAAAGAAGGCTGAGATTCTGGAAGAACAGTTATGATGGTGAGAATAAGGAGCCAGAAGATCTGTTTTCTCCCATTTAGGAATTTCTCTTCTTGGCCACCAAAGTGGGAATTGATAGGCTATCTTTCCTTGCCACACTTTTGGATCAGATGCCAGGGGATTTCCTTTCGTGGGGAGTTGGGAAAAAGTGGAAGGAAATAAACCAGCTCTTAGGAAGTTTTCCTTATCATAAATACTGAAAAACAGAGTGGAAAGGTCCTAGTCTCTCCCATTCTCTCTTCTTCTCATATATGTGGACATATGTATACATATGACATCATTTTTTTCAGTAATGTGTAAATACTTTGGAGACCCTCTAATCATTTATGTGCTCTTTATTTCATTGAGAATAAAAGAATTTTTTTTAAAAAATATGGTGAGAAATAATGAGATGAGATGCACGAAGGCTAGGTATTTCCCCAAAGCCCTAGGGTCATTCTTGCCTTCTAGGTTGTGGAAGTAGGCTTGCAGTTGGTATGAGGAGGAAGGCAGCTGCCGTAGGAGGTAAGGCAACAGAGGAAGGCAGTTTCTGGTGAATCTCTGCTGACTTGTTGCGTGGTCATTCATAAGGCAGAGTTTTCTTCGTGTACAATAAATATAACTTAGTATGTTGTTGTAGAATACTATCTTAAGGTGTGTTACTTTTGTTTATGTTGCATTTGTTTAACTCTGTGAAGCTGTGTTACTGTGCCTGTCTAAAACACCAGATGGTCTAATAAAGAGTGAATGGCCAATAGCGAGGCAGAAGAAAGGATAGGCGGGGCTGGTAGGCAGAGACAAGATAAATAGAAGGAGAAAGACCAAAGAAGAAAGAGCAAGAGAAGGAGGAGTGTAGATGAATTGCTAAACAGTCTTATTTAAACACACACACACACACACACACACACACACACACACACACACACACACACACACACAAAACCCTAGAAAAACTCAAAAACAACAACAACAAAAACAAAACCCAGAGCCAGATATTGGAGTGATAGCTGAGAGATCAGAGAAACAGACCAAGCCATAGCCAACCTCACATCAATGACTCCTCTGCTGATCAATCCTGTTTCCATGACTGAAAGCCTCTGAGTCCTTACCCCTGAGGATCTGAGCTGAATTGCTTAAAAGCCTCTAGTTCCTGGTCCTCATGCCTTGTATACCTTTCTGCTTCCTGCCATCACTTCCTGGGATTAAAGACGTGTCCTTCCCAAGCAAAGACATGAGATCTCAAGTGCTGGGATTAAAGGCATGTGCCACCATGTCTGGCTCATTTCCCAGTGTGGCCTTGAACTCACAGAGATCCAGATGGATCTCTGTCTCCCGAATGCTAGGATTAAAGGCGTGTGCTACCACTGCCTAACCTCTATGTTTAGTAGAGTGGTTGTTCTGTTCTCTGACCCCCAGATAATAATAATAATAAGCCTCTGTGTGTGTTTATTTGGGAGCTAGGTGGCAGCCTCCCCCTGCCCAAAGAACCAAAAAAACAAACAACAATAATATGCACTATGTAACAAGAGGTGTTCTTGGAGGATGGAGGGATGTATAGTGTAGTGTCAGACAAAACAAAAACCCCTTGTTCTTACAGATCTTCGTGAGAATCAGAGTCCAAAGCAAAGGAGGAGGTAAATGAAAGGCGTATTTCAGATGGGATGGCTGTTGTAAGGGTGATACCCTGTGCAGGTGAGATGGAGAGGGGGTCGAGGAAAGCAGCCACCCTCTCTGAAGTGGTGCTATTGGATGCAGTGTGATTGAGGGAAGAGCCAGTCAAACGGAGAGCAGAAGGAAGGCGATTCCAGGTAGAGGAAACAGCAACTAAAAAGATTCAGAGAGGCGTGGATTTGGAGTGTTTGGGAAAGGAAAGGTCAGCTAGGGAAGAGATGCTGGATAACATATAGCCCCAGGAGAGGGCCAAGAGTGGTATGGGAGATAGGGTTCAAGACACAGGAGGCTGGCAGATTTTATGGAGCCATCAAAC